TTTTTTTTTCAATACCTCAAACATAGCTTCTGTCAGAATATTTTCTAATATAGCTCTCAGACCACGTGCACCAGTATTCTTGGCTATTGCTTTTTGAGCAATCAATCTCATCGCACTGTCTGTGAATTCTAAATTGACCTGTACTCAGAGAAACAACAGAAACGCTTGTTTGTACTTGATTCGAATAAGTATGGAACAATGTACTTGCAAAAAACAGGGTCAATCATAACTTACATGATTCATGCTGAATATCCTCTTGTATTGCTTACATAGAGCATTTTTAGGCTCAGTAAGAACCTTTGAAAAGTGAAGAAGGTCAAGATCCAAAACATCTCAAGTACGAGTAAGAAAAACAAAGGATTAAGATTGAATCGCTATACAAATGGCGTATACTTTCACTCTCTTTTTGCAACCAGAACTATATTTACATCTTTGCTTTAGCTATCAACATGTGACGCATTGGTATTCCAGATGTATTTTCACCAAAGTGGAGAGTAAGGTTTTGAGTTACTCTTTTAACTCGTGATTGAACTCTCAAATGGAGTTGTTTGCGCCAGAAAATATTTAATTTTGTAGACCAAATTCTTTTAGGCTACGTTTTGATTGAGGAATTTGAAATCCTTGATTTGGAATACTTTGAAATTTAAAGTTGCTACTTCTTGAATGGATTTGTGGAAAGGATTATGAATCCATTGTCTAGCTTGCATCGATGGTGTTGGCTCGCGGTGGTGATGAATCTAAATAAGATTCATACTCGCGAACGGTGTGGACAAACGGTGGATAAACAGTGGATTTCAAATAACTATTTCAAAACTAGGTTTGAGGAGTCAATTAAAATCCTTCAAAATAATGACTAAAGTCTATCTGGCGTGCTTCTGGTATCATCCGAACATATCCAAACATGTGTGGGGAATTAAACTAAATTTGAAATCTATAGATTTCAAATTCTTCAATCCAAACATAGCCTTAAGGGATTTCTTTAAGTCAAAAGTGCACCACGGACGTGTAAAAAAATGTACTACCAACAAAAATATTTGTTATAGCAATTTAAATACCATCCCATACACGAAGGTACTGCAGAGTTGATTTCTCGTGAGAAAACATCCTAGGTGAAACAAGAAATTCAGGGCAACGAGTAACAATTGGAATACAGGAAATAAAGGTGCTATATGTTCTCGATATCCAGGCAGTCTAATGGACAAAAGGCCCATCAGTAAAGGATTTCGAAAAAAGGTTATACAATCAGCGGAAAGGTGCCAACAACCAACCTCTTTTGTTTTATGAACTTCTATTGACAAACATGTAACAATTTAGCAAGGAAGGATTTACTTTTGAATAAAAGATTTTGCTAAAAACAATTCCAGTAAATTTGTATACTTTGAAAGAAATAATGAGGAAATTATATAGAAACTAAGTTTATTTTGTGGCACGGATACATATTCAGATGAAGGTTACCTTATGTTCTTACCAGAAACAGTGTTGACTCTCAATTTACATTTCTTAAACCCGAAGTGTGGAATTGTTTTTAGCAAAATCTTTTATTCAAGGGCAATTTATATATTTATTATTAAAAAAATAATAAGTGGACAAAAAACAAGAAAAAAAAGGGGGAGTGGACCAACATAAAAAGCACGTATTTACAAAATACGTTTTCTGTATAATTTAATAAAAAAACGTATTCACAGGATACGTTTTTCACATTTTTTTACAAAGGAAAACGTATTCACGAAATACGTTTTCCAAATAATTTTTCCAAAAGCCTTGAATACGGGCTTTTGATTCCTTTCCACATCCTTTTTTCTTTCTTTTTTTTTTGTCCACCACTTCTCTTTCTTTTTTTTTCCGTAAAAAATTCCCCTCCAAAGCCTATGAATTACACATGATGCCAATTTTTTATTTTTTATTTTTTTTCTGCCAACGGTAAACAGTAAGCACACCTTAATAAGTTGGTCCTCATCAAGAGCCGATAAGCTCACGACAACAGGAAATCGTCCAACAAATTCAGGTATAAGACCATATGCAGTAAGATCAGCACTCTCTACCTGAAATGTCAAACGGTCATACCATACCTCAGGTATGTTGAGACACAACTGTACAATGTGAAAATTCTGACAGGACAGAACAAAGTATTATTAAATGTAGACAATCATTGCTCACATGTTCTAATAGAGATGAGGCTGCAGCAGAATTCAACCCAGCAAGTCTCAAATTAGCGCGGACAGGTGCTCCGAAACCTATAGAGGAATCTTGACGTCTACGACAAAGCAGTGAATAAATCCAAAAGTAGGCAATATAACAGGTTTAGTCGGTCAAATGTATTGCACTACCTCTCAGAAATGGTCTTCTCCAGATCAACAAAAGCTCCACCACAAATAAAGAGGATATCTTTTGTATCTATCTGACATTTAAAGAAATGAAATGAACATACAAATAAGTTTCTGTGCAAAAGATTTTAAATACAAAACCATTCATATATATAACATTTTCGTTTGCAGAAGAAAACTTCCATCCATTGGTGTCATGAATATACAGTGAATACTGCTATAATTCACATTTTCCACAAAAGAAATATTCAACTATTCTGCTCTAGAAAAACAAAAAACTAAGAGCTACTGTTAAACCATTGAATTACAAACCAGTACGTTGATTTCATTTAAAAACTTTTTTTCACTTCTGCTGATTAAAGATGATAAAAAATTGTAGATGAAATGAAACATAGGGTTTAATAGTTAGAGAAGTCAAGTTTTTTATATGATTGGAAATGCACATGCTACTCAAGGAAATCTTAATTAGGTGTTAAGCAGTATTAAAGTTTCATTTTGTTTAATCAATGTAGCCTGACAGGAGATGGAATATTGTTACTGAGAGACGTAAAATGGAAGGGGTAAATATGGAATAAATAAGTTTAGCATGATGGACCACTCAATTTTAGAAAAGAAAAACTTTAAAGATATTGGTTGGTAAATTTATGGATCCTCAGAATCTAGAAAAAATTTTAAGGATGTGGCTTCTTAATTATAGGACCCTGATCACTGAGGCATTGGTTTCCTCAACCTTTCATTTCTTTTCTATATATATATATATATATATATATATATATATAATTGCTAGCATATCATTTAATAAAACCTATTTAATAAAACCTCCATAATTTTCCCGCCAAAAACCGTTATAATTCCATTTCTATATCTATAAATATATATAATTACAAACAAAAAAATTTAATAAAACTATTTGTTGTTTTTCCCCCTTTTCCATTACAATCCAATATTATTATTATTATTATTATTATTATTATTATTATTATTATTATTATTATTATTATCTCGATAAATATAATAATAGGTTATCCAATTGATACGAATCATAAAAATTTCCCCTCGTATTTTTTTTAGGAAACCGTTACATTTTACACTAATTCGGTGTAATAAAAATTTTAAACTAATTTATTATATAATAGTACTACTATTACTAACTAATTATAAATTTACATTAAATCTTATGTGAAAACTTACATACTAATAAAAAATTATATTGCAAACTTTTTTCTTTAATATATTTGTTTTACAATAAATATATTTTTTTATCTTATTAAGTGATTTTAATTAGTTAATTGGTATGAATGCCATAATTAAACTCTTTAAAATCACATATACAGTTGTTTTAACAATAATAAAAATAATTATAACACTTTTCTAACTAATTGATTGGATAGTCCCTTAAAATTACATTATCCATTACATTTTATGCAATCAATAATATAACGATTCATATGTAAGTAACATAGGTTACATTTATATTGTACATTTACATATAGCCAAAAATTTAAAATGTAGCACACACATTGTCTAGATTAAAATTTTAAATATTATAGACATACATATAATATATAAACTTTTATTTGTCTTGTGCACATAGGATGGAATACTAGTTAAATTTATTAGTAAAAAAGTGGTATTAGCCTGACTGCTAGACTGGTTGTAAACTGTTGGGGGTATGCAGAGATTTGATTAGCTTGGGCAAGTTTATTCTTGCTGGGAAGAAATCTGTTGGTGACTGTTAATGACCTCGTCTTTTGTTCTTGTTTAGCATCAATAAGTTACTGTTTCACTACCAAACGGTATCTGACTCGTTATTCCTAGCAGATACCATTACAGGCTACAGTTTTATTGAAGGATGGGAACAAAGCCAGTAGAAACAATGAGAATGAACTAATTTAATTTTTAAAAAAAAAAATAAGGTATGAAAATTATTATTATAGTAGATCTTCAAATAGAAGGATAAAAAATGTACAAGCATAAAATTTTAGAGAATGCATCAGGTTCTGGTTACCTGAATGCTATCGTGCCGTGAATGCTTGGGCGCGCTACTGTCAGGAATACTTAAAACCTAGTAGAGATCAGCTTATTATCAATATAATGCTTTAGAAAAAATATTTGCAACGGTCTGCAAGAGAACTTGAAGGTAGGTAGAAAGGTAATGAAGGGAGCACAGTGGAAAATACTAAGCTCTTATATCGTACACTTTTAAAAACTAAAATACTGAGCAACTGATAAAAATGAAAAGCTAAGGAACACAAAAGTACTCACAGTTCCTTCTAGCATCTTCAACAGAGCTTCCTGAACACCCTCTCCAGATACATCTTTTCCCATGTTGAGGCTCTCGGTCTGGAAAGAGCCTCCCAGAAGACAGTTCATCAAGAAACAACAAAAATTAGCTCCTCAGTTAATCACTTCAAATCAACTTATTTGAGATCTGCTGCCAGACCTTCTTGGTTATCTTGTCAACTTCATCTATATAAACAATTCCACGTTGAGCTGCTTCAACATTGAAGTCAGCAGCCTGTAGACGCGATAAGATGGCAATACATTATACTAATACCTCGAGTAGGGGCTGAAAAAATGCAAATATACTGATGCAATTTGACAAACATAGCACCAGTCTTGGCTCATGTGTACTGAATGAGTCACAATTATGCCTTGAAACATATGCAAACAGGCAATATTTCAAAGATGTGTTTCAGTCTGGCTTTGGTTGCACTTTCGGTTTTAATATACACTACATAATTGTGTGTCAAACCAGGTAAAAATGGAAAAAACAGCAGAAGTTCAACTTCCTGCCAACTCAGAAAAACATTTATAGAAAGAGGATTTTGAAGTAACCATTATGAACCAACATATTTTACCTTTCTTATAAATGGATCAGATGATTACAATTATACACTAGCCTTGAGTTCTTAAAATCTGCAGGTCTAGAAACCTAAATCTAAACACTAGGCCACTGCAACAACAACAACAAAATACCCAGTATATTCCCAACAGGTTGATCTAGTCCATTATTAGCAGGAGAATAAACACTAGGCCACTGCGATTATTCATAATCCTTCTTCCTTCATCTTCATAATAGTTCATCATGATTTAAGACCTCTATCAAAAAAATTTAAAAAGTACTCCATATATAATCATACCATGACAAATGTTTCATAGGACAAAAAACAATTAGATTAAGATTTAAAGCTAGCAGACAACACTTATCATTTCATACCAACTCATTCTTCCATCATACCATTTCACCACATGTCGAGTTAAAAATCCCATAAAAAAACACACATGAACTTCTAAGTATAAGTCTTAAATCTCTTTTTAAGTCATTATTTTTATTAAGATGCACAAAAAGTCAAACAAATTTACCATGAGTAGTTTGTATAGAATAGATTCCACATCTTCCCCAACATAACCAGCCTGTAGACACACACACACACACACACACACACACACACACACACACACACAAAGTTAGACATAATAGAGTATCAAAATAGCAGCACAGAAATACAATAGCAAGTACTAAAATTACTTAACTACATCAAACCTGCCTGTGTTAGTGTCGTGGCATCAGCAATGACGAAAGGGACATTAACCACACGAGCTAATGTTTTAGCAAGAAGTGTCTTTCCTGTCCTTCAAGAAATGAGAGATACATAAATCATAATAGCGTAATGATTAATTTTGTATCCCCTACAAACAGAACTGCTGGCACTCTGACCAAAAGCATTATATTCAAGTGTTTACAAAACCAAAACACGCATCATGCCTGAACCAGTTGGGCCGATCAATAAGACGTTGCTCTTCTCCAGCTCAACAACTTCGTCATCAAAAAAATCCAATTCAGTAACAGCATAGCCTAGTTTAGCACCTGACCTGAGATTAAAATGAAATTTAATGATCGACAATAAGTTGAAAAGCATCCTCTATAAAACAGGAAAGGAATCCATTAAGAGAAATATTTATCTGCAAGGTGACATCACCTATGTATGTTCTTGAGTCATTGGATGTAAAATAAATCATAATACAGAAACCAAGTGATATGTTTGCACATTCAAATTTTTATACTAGATAAGTATGGCAGATGAGCCGCACGCATACACACACACACACAAAAGAAACACAATTTCCTGAAGGAACCAGATATAAAGGTATATTACTCACTGGCTCTGCACCAATGGGCTATTTATTCTTTTATAGTGGTTATAAACAGCAACGGAAAGCACCTGCCATGTGAAAAAAACTCGTGAAACTCTGTAGATTGTATGTCCAATAATACATGAAACAAAAGAAATATTTCATAGGTAGGAACACGTCACAGAAGAGTGTCTCCATCACACCTCTTATCAAATCATAACTATGTAATATACGATACATCAACATCAACATCAACATCAACATACCCAGTATATTCCCAACAGGTTGGAGTCTGGGGGGTCAATTGTACCCAAACCTTACCCTTGTAATTATACAAGGACGCTGTTTCCATAGCAACCCAAAGTGCGTTGCGTCGTTTGATATATTTTTTCTAGAAACTTCACTAATAGAAGAAGCACTGGAAGTTAATTGAGTCGTTTTGATCTAGTCCATTATTAACACTATGCCAGGAGAATTGTCAACAATGACTCTTCCAGCTCCATATGCAATGGACATGTTAGTATAAAATATACGATACATATTAGTATAAACTTCACTAATATACGATACATATTAGTATAAAATATAATTTAGTTCGTTAGCTTTATTATCATTAGTAAAAAGGTTCAGAGCATGAATAATCTCTTCAAGTTCAAAAAATATGCACCCTAGCATGATCTTTTCAAGAAGTTTGTCATTCAAATAAAAATCATACACAATAACCTCATAACTAACAGTTCTCTAGACCATATAAATATCCAAAACAATTTCAACTTCGGTATAAACATAGGTTTTATAAGTAATGGAACAATGAATTGCTATAAGGTGCATTATTTTCCAATCAACTAACCATTTTATGCACCGAAATTCGCTAGCAATCACAAGCCGCAGGCTAGCAACAATATGGGACCTCATGATTGATAAAGCGCACACCTAATTTGCACAAATCAGAGCACAGACATTTTTAAAGGCACATTCCATTCATTGTGGTGCCATCTAGCAGAAACTAACCCTACAAATTTTCACACCCCCAAACAAGTTCTTAACATAAACTCAGCCAGAAAAAAACAAACCTTTTTTGCATTCTCTTGCCCAACAACAAACTCATTGAGCACTTTACATATCTCCTTTGGAGTTGGCAACTCCTTCCCTACTTTAGCCATCTCCTCCACAACCCCTGCACTCATTCCCTCTGAGTTTCCTTCCGCATTACAATCACCATCAACATCAGAATCACCTCTCTTTGCATTAATCTCACCGGAACCATACGACTTTAACTTCTCCCAAATTTTAACCCCATTTTTTCCACCTTTCCCCATGCCATTGCCCTCCATGTCCGCAAAATTCTCTCTCCCACCCTTAACCCTTCCAATCTCTATGAAACTCCCCTGCAGTGGTTCCAGCTTGAATGGCCGGAAATAATAGGCCGTCCGGCAATTGTAGCACATGCTGACTGCCTGATAAATCCCGTTCTCAGTGGCAGTGATGGAGAGAGGTCGGTTGGAGAAGAGCACGGTTATCATCTTGGAGCATCGGGGGCAGTTGACCTCGGCCTTGATTTGATCGTACTTGTCTGAGCTTCTGTCCCATTTGTGCCTCTCTTGAAACCCTAATTTCTGGGGTCTGCGGAACAGCAGGCTCAGCTGTGGCTGGAAAAGGGTGGTGGTGGGTGGGGCTCTGGTGGCAGAGGAGTGGAAGAGGTTTGACAATGGCTTCAAGGAGAGGGTGGAGATCGTTAAGCAGCGGAGCTTGGATGCGGAAGAACGAAATATGGCAGACATTTCTCTGCTGCAGCCTGTTCACAGCATCTGTAGTTAGACATGTAAAAATGGACTGACAAGGTTGGTGGGACGATAAAAAGCCACGCCAACCAGCTGTGGGTATAGGCGGGCTGGCCGGTCCAAAAATATGGTAGCAGTTTAATTAACAGAACAGTAGAATTAAACAAAGTACAAACTCTGAAACTCATGAACGAATAAACATGTTAAGTTCAGACATCAGACAACAATTAAAACGCTACGGGAACACATATATATTTCTACATTTACATCTGCGAATTTCAGATTTTGAGACAACATTTCAATTTACCCACATCAACTCAGCCATCAAAATACCTGGAGCGGAGAGTTGCAGAGGGACGGGACTTGGACAGTCCGGTCGGACAGCTGCAGGAGCGGCAGTGAGATTCCGGAGACTGAGGCGGCGCGAGAGGCAGTAAGATAGCAGAACCCGGGCCGTGAGGTATTCCAGTCACAGAGGAGGCACTGATAATTGGGACCTGCGGTTTATAGAGTAATTTATATAAAAAATACGTTGACAAAAAAAAAAAA